TAAAAGATGATAGGCGCGGTATTTCATAATGCGCATATATCCCCGGCCGATTATTCTATATTTTTCTATAAATGCACACCCTGTATAAATGCACACTTTTGTTTAGTCCCGAGGGGGGTGCATTTATAGAGAGTTGACTGTATATCGTAAAACCATGATGGGACATAATATGTCCATGACTCGATACATCAAAGCTAGTGTCAAAATGGCGGAAGAAACTTTCAGAAGAAGAAAAGGCTAAATTACATCGAGAAGATAGATTTGGAAAATGATGTAATTGAAAATTCTAATCCTCCAATTTTAACTGATAAGCTCAATGCGATTACGAAGAACCAGTTTGCTTATATATAGATCAGCCTTTTATTCACTCTCCGACTTTGAAATTTTTCCTGTTTGTTATAATATTAATAATGTTTTTCCAGAAAAATATATGTACAATACGTTTTAGATGTAAAATACCGATTTAGTTCCAAATTTAGATTATTTTTAAATATGAAAATTTCATATAAAGAGCTAATTAAGTATTTCGAACAGTTTCTTTCGTTCTTCATTTATTCACACTATTTATTAGATGTTCAATTTGATTATTCGCTTTCATACTTTTGGCAATATTTGAAAACTTACTTTCCAATAAATGTCCGCCGCTGCATTACGGAACTCTCTATAATTAAAGGTCCTTTTTGTCGCTTATTAATTGAATGTAATTCAAAAAATTTGCCACTCTGAAATTGTTACACTGCGCCACAACTTTGCAAAATAATTTGTAGAATAACCAATTTTTAACGAACATACTACATCCATAACTCCCCTAATTTGCAATTAAAGTAATTCTCTTTGTAATTCATTAAATTTTATCGAGTTGAGGACCCTGAGGTAGTTATAACATTTAAAGAGAAATGAAAGCATCTTATAAATTTGGTCGCTCTACAAATATTATTTTTACATTGTTACAAGAATATTTTTCCCCACTGGAATCCGTCAATTAACTAAAATTTACTATTGAAGATTTTTGTGAAGCATACATGTCGAACCTAATTATTTGTTATTATTATTACGATTTTTTCCTAATAAAAAATCCTAAATCTTTTAAAGTTTAATATCTTCGGTTTAAGTTAGCATTCAGACAAAAAAATCTGTAAATGAAATGAATACATTAAAACATAAAAACAATGTGATACCTCGATTTCTTGAAAATCAACAAAGAAAAAAATTTTTATTTAGGGAACTGTGTACAAAAAAATTTATTTAAATAATATTTTTTTTTGGAAAAAACGAGCTGTTACATTAAAGAGACAAAATTTTTGTAAATTTGTAGCGAAGATATTAAGAAGAATCTGAAGTTGTTAAAGTCTAAAAATATATCGATTTAGAGAGAAAGATTATTTTAAACTATCGGAAATACAATCTTTAATAGTAAATATTACTATAGGGCCAGATTAATCTATGTCGACAGCAAAGCATGTACCAATCGTACGTGTATTGTAATTAAAATTTTCTTTGAATTTTTGATAAATTAAAAGTTGTTTATATTATAATTAAGTTATAAAATGATAATAATTTAAAGTTACCAAATATTATTTTATATTTTTGATAATATTATTCTATTATAGTAAAGTATTAAATTATTAAAAAAATTTTAAAGTAACAGAAAGGTATGGTACGAATAGACTTCCCCTGCGTAACCTTCAAAAAGTGTCACGAAATGTGGCAATATGGCGCATGGCTAATCAATCACGATATAAACATAATATTTGTAATATGCATACATAGAAAAAAAAAAATTACGAATAAAGACTTATTTTATTACTAAATAATAAGACTTGATTTATTTACTTTTTGAAAATTTAAAGACGTTTATTCTTATTATATAGCTATTTTTAATTATTCTTTATATCGCGTTTATAAATTAATACAATTAAACGGTACATCTATAGATTAAAATTTAATAAATTTTATCGCAAATTTTGTATTCTTTATTTCTTTTTTTTTTCAATGTATAATCCACCAGAACAATATAATGCAACGGCAAATAACATAATATAGACATTAATTCCAGAAATCACAAAGTATTACCTCCATTTATATTCATCTGCATTTTGAACTGCTTCAATAATAATATCAGTAATAGTCTTTGGATCTCCGGAAAGTGGATTGATATCAATTGCTATCTCAAAATTAAAACTTGTAGTATGTTTTATTTCCAAGTTTTCTTTGTCACATGAACTTGTATATTGATCCATT